CATGGAGACCAGGGCTGTTACAGGTCTTGCCATTATGGGTGTAAAAGAGATTGTCTCCAAGCCTGGCCCTCACTCAAGGGGCATCTGGAAGAGCTCTGGGAGTTTGGAAGTGAGTGGCGATAGCTGAGGCTTCTCATGGTGCAAGCGGGTAGAGCCAAGCGAATCTAGGGCTGTGCATATACTGGGCCCAACACACCCATTTGTAGTCATACATGGGGCACGAATAGTCAGATCTATCTACCAGCCTTGCCCAGGAAAAATACAATATTTTCATTCTTTGGTGAGAGGAGTGTTGCTGTATCTGCTGATGATCACCTGATGGCCATTGGCCAGACACAAAGATTATTCCAAAGAGACAAAACGTCTTTTGTCAACTAAACTAGCTCCCCAGCATGATGTAGGGTAAGGATTTGGGGTATAACAAGTACATGGATCCCATCTTAGCCATGTGGCTTGGGCAAGTAGCAGACTTCTCTAAGCTTTAGTACCCCATGTGCCGCACTGGGAAACTGATGGTTGCTAGGTAATTGTGAAGATTAAATTTATGTATGCAAACCACAGGTTCTCCCCTGCTTTCTCCCACTTCAAAATGAACCCAGTAGTGTGTATTCTCCTCTCTCTTCTCTGAGACTCCTTAATCACTCCCTGACCCTCATCTCGTTGCTTTGTGCAGTATGTCATTTATGTGAGATATTTGCTCATTATTCATCGAGTACTTTTGTTACAAAACATTGACACAGGGGCATTGTGGCACACAAAGATGGGATGGAGCCAGTGAGGGGCTGATACTCTGGGCCTCAACCCATGTCCCTGTGTCCTTGGAGGGGGCAGGGAGGGAGACTGACCTCGCAGATAATATGCCACCAATCTCATCACATCCTATCAGCCACAGTCAACCATAGTAATCTGTATTTTTCCCCATAGCTCTTTTTGGGTAAAAGCTGTATCACTTGAGAATCCGCTTAAAAATCCTTTTTACAAAGAAGGCCTCAAGGACAGTGGTTCTTTTTTTTTTTTTTTTTTTTTTGTTGAGTAGTTATCAGTGGCAGCTCATTAACTCCTCCTGCTGACCTCATAGTCCACTGCATCTTTTTCCTGGTGGCTTCAGGCTGTCCCGGGAAGGGAGAGTCAGCAGAACTGTAGTCCAGTGGCCCACAGAAGGAAAGAGAGTTGCCTTTCCTGTTTATTCCTAACACTTCTTAACTTTTTTAATGCTGTGGGTAAAGCCTTATTCCTTCCCCTTGAGAAGAAAAAGGTAAACATTTTCACTTTGTTTTGCAAAAATGTGTTGGTATGACATGTCTTCTAATTACAGCTCCACCACCACAGTATCGTAACGGTTGCTTCAAAGACCATGAAATAATAGATTTTGAGGAGTGTAACACCCGTGCTCTTTCACTACATCTGTAATTACTGTATACATTCTAATTACAATGCTTCTTACCTAGGTATTCTTGCTCAAGGGAAAAAAAAAGTGCTTCTATTTTCAGTTAGTCTATTTATACTCTGAGACCTAAACCTGCCTAGTGACACATGGTCTCTGCCATTGGTGTTCTTTCCGGGAGCCTCACAAAGGTGACTTGAGTGTGCAAACTGAGAACACAACGTGATTGCAACCTCAGATTATATAAAAATTTTCATGCATGATCTTAAGTGTTAGAGTCTTAACCCGGTGATTCTAGAGCAAAGAAATAGTCCACCCGTTCAAAGAAGTGGGCTCGTTTCTACCTTACTGCTCAGCTTACTTCTCTGGGGTGTGGGTGGGTGCAGGGCGGAGAGAAAAATAAGCTCACAGTAATCTATTTCCATCTAATTAGAATTCACTCACTAATCTCATGGATTAATTCATCCAAAAATATGCAAGAAAAGTCATAAGTTAGTTTAAAGATTGCTTGTGTAGTTTAATGTTCTCCTCATGAAAAGTGTAGCATTTGCTCAAAAAACTCTAGTCGAAACGCAACAGCCACACTCCCGAAGGTTTCTGACACCTTGAGTCCTGTTGCAAGGTGTAGGGTTGATTGATTACAAGTAGAGATAAAATATTTAGAGTCATCATTTGGTTTCCTGTCTTGAAAAAGAACCAAAATGTTGGGAAAGACACAGAAAAAGGACTCGGAAGAATAGAAGTAACATCTTGGCTGTGCTGTTTCCTCGTCTCTGTAGCAAAATCATTGACGCGTTCTGAACTGCAGTGTCTTAATTTAACAGATGATGCGTTTTCTCAGGGGCATGGTTTAACAATTTTGAAACAATTGTGTGTTCTTGGCATGAGCAAACAAGTCAATCTATTGAGGATAACAGGAGTCAAGTTTTTCATTGTGAGAAAACGGAGTTACAAATAGGGAAGGGAGAAACAAGAACAGATCCTGAAATGCTGGGTTGGAATTGGAGGTATCAGAATGAAATTTTATCAGAATGGCTTTTAGGAGGGTAAGAGTGAGAGTGAGGGCAAGGCGATGGGGGAGGGGGGAAAACAAGCAGGAAAAGAAGAGGAAGAGGAGGGGGAAGTGGGGACTCGGGGAGAGGATAGGAGGAAGGAAGGAAGTAGGTAAGGCTGGTTCTAGGATTGAGTAGGGAAAGTGCAAGATGTCTCTGGAATAACTTCATGCGCTGCAGCGACCAGGCAAACTGAAGTCCCTGAGAGTCTGCTGGAGTCTTGGAGGGGAGAGGACTCTGTGGGTTGGGTGACTTATATATCAGAGATAATTACGTCTGAATCTCCAGAGACCGGATTCCAATCTAAGCTAAATGTAGGGAGGCCAAATTAAAGCAATTTAATGACATTAGTCCCCTGATTACAGATCTGAGAGGACCAAGGCCTTTTGATCTTCCCCTGTTTTATACTTATTATCACGAAGTATAATGTAAAGCTGAAGAAAAAAGGATTTGATTGTATCACTTTCTATGTTACAAATAATTCTAACTTGGAATCCATTCGGGCTCCCTTGATTCTTAATTTTCCTTGCATTCATTCTGTGAGCAATTTGAAGATTCAGTGATGGCTTTTCATTAATCTTAGAACAGTCAGAGCTGTTTACTGCAGTCTGTAAAGCCCTGGACAGTTTGGCTCCAGCCTGGGCACTCAGACCAGCCCTGGAAGCTTCGACCACTCCACGCTGCACTGACCTGTCCTTAGAGTAAGCTCTGTCCTCCCCCGGGGCCTTTGCTGATGCTGTTCCCTCTGCTTGGGATGCTCTTTTCCACCCTCTTTGTTGAACTAACTCCTACTCTTACATCTAACATCAGCTTAAAAGTCACTTCCTAAAGGATGCCCGCCCTGTCCTCCTAGTCTAGGTTTCCTGGTCTTTTGTTTTTCATAGGCAACAAAATGGACATTTCAATATATATTTGCATAATTGTTTCATTTCTGACTCCCCACAAGATTGTATACGCTTCATAACATCAGGGTGATAAAAACAGCGCCTGATCCATAGCAGGGGCTCAATACTCATGGAAGGAAAAGAAAGAAAAGTCAAGAGAGAAATAATTCATTGTTGGTGTGCCATAAGGTTACCTCTTCTGAAAAGTATCAAATTTCCTGGAGAGGTTTGTTTTTATATTTTTTCACTTTTTAAACAATTATTATTTTATATTTAAATCATTACAAATGGAAATATTTAAAATTAGTATTTCATCCATAATTTTAGTTTATTAGGTTGCTTTCTTACAGTCACGAACTCTGTTTTTACAGGCACACAAAATACTGTGCTGTTAAATGTTGATCAACTGGTGCTCTAAGTGTGGGTCTAACATTAATATTTTCATTTACATTAATGCTTAAGACAAAAGAGAGAAAATGAAAATGTATTATAAGATCTTCACTCATTTGTCCATAACAGGAGCGTCTTTTTTGGCTATATTTTCAAATACTGGAAAAATACTCCCTCAGTTTTTAACGCCACTCACCGTGTAAGGACAACAGAGAGGACACACTTTAAGTTTCATTGCATTATTACCATATTCTCTACCACTTTCTTAAGTCTAGACAATCAACAAAACAAAAACAATCAACCCTGACTTATAGCATTTGCTGATTTCCTTGGTGTAAATACTCCCATGGTGGCAAATTTCAAACCATCTGTGAGGCACCAAATAAGACATATGTGGTGTTGACCAGCACATAGTATTCCCGCTATACAGATAGTTGTTTAATTTTTCATAATGACTATGTTTAACAACCGGCTTGCAAAATCCCTGAAAATGTAGCAACTGGCTCTTATAAACCTACAACACAGGTCAGCTCCAGCACACACTATATATCCATCCACATGTGTACATACACAGTGTGTGCATATAGTTTTAGTGAAAATACAATTTATGTTCTGCTTTTCCCATTTAGTTTTAATTCATTTTTCCATGATTAAATTTAATAGCCCATTGACATGCCAGAAATTTATTTAAACGTATCTCTTTTGTTAGAAATTTAGTTGATTCGTGATTTTAAATTATGATCTATGTCAAATATATTTGTACATTTTCATTTTTTTCTCTGTAGAAATATTTATCTGAAAACACTTTTAGGAGTGAGGCTATGGATAAACATATTTTTATGACTTTTGCCATTATAATAAGTTAGAAAGATCCACATTTTATTTAGTTTGTGTTTCCATGTACAAAAATGTTTCCATGGCCCCATTGTTCAGAGGGAAAATTTATAATCCAGTAACATTGTAGGAATACATTGATCATTGACATCAAACTTACCCTCAGCAATAACAGTGAACAGTGCTAATATTTTTTTAAGGATTTTTCTTTTTTTAATTCTAATTTTTAATTCATTTTAATTTTATTTGGGGGGGAGGTAATTAGGTTTACTTATTTATTTATGTTTTAGGGGAGGTACTGGGGATGGAACCCAGGACCTTGTGTATGCTAAGCTTACTCTCTACCACTGAGCCATACCCTTCCCACTGCTGACGTGTTTTTATTCGTTCTGGGGAAAGAGACAACACACTAATATTTGGGGGGGGGTGTGAAGAAGACCTTTTACATATTTGCAGCAGTGGGGGTCAATACCAGTTTCACCATAGGCATTGTCACATGACCTACATATGCTAAATGGCTACATCTGTCCAAATGAGCTATCAAGCCATGAAAGACATGGAAGAAACTTAAAAGACATATTACTAAATGAAAGAAGCCAGTCTGAAAAGGCTACAAACTGTACGATTCCAACCAAATGACATTCCGGAAAAGGCACAGCTACAGAAACAATAAAAAGATCGTGGTTTCCAGGGGTTTGGGGAGAGGGAGGGAGGGAGGGATGAATAAATGGAGCACAAGGGATTTTTAAGGAGATGAAATTATTCTGTATGATACTATAGTTGTGGCTACATGTCATTATGCATTTGTCAAAACCCATAGAATGTACAACATCAAGAGTGAACACTAATATAAACTGTGGAATTTGGTTGATAATAATGTGTCCATGTTGGTTCATCAATTGTACCAAATATGCCACACTGATGAGGGATGTTGAGGGTAGGGGAGTATATATGTGTGTGGGTGGGGAGGGCTATATGGGAACTCAGTATTTTCTGCTTGATTCTGCTATAAACCTGAAACTGCTCTAAAAAAGTAAAGCCTATTAAAACAAAAACCAAAACCAAACCCAGAATTTTATAACTGGCACAAACATTTCCATTGCATCGAAAACAACAAATTACCTAGAAAGACATGCCACATTTAAGATGCAAAGTGTTGATGGGGAGTCGGCATGGAACTCAGAGGAGAGGTCGGGGCTGGGGTATAATTTTAAGAGCTATCAGAATAGAGACAATATTTAAAGGTGGGTACTGACTGCGTTGCCTTGGAGGGAGCATGTTGTCAAAGAAGAGGGCAGAGGAGGAGGAATAGCCAAGAAGATTGAGAAGATCTAGTCACTGAGGGAGCAGGGAGACCAGGAGGATTTAGTGGGTGGTGGAAGCCAAGAGGAGAAAGTGGTAAATGGTGCCACATGCTGTTCAGAAGTTAAAAAAAATATGTAAAGATGGAAACATTTCATTAGCTGTGGCAGTTTGGGAGTTAGTGACTTTGACAAGAACAGTTTTAAGGGGGTGGAGGTGGTAGGATACTGAGGGGAGGAGAGTGTGGGGAGCATGAATAGAAATGACTTTAAAAAATTTTTTTATTGAGGTATAGCAGAGCAAAAGTTCCTCCAAGAACGGGAGGCAGGCTGATCCAAGGGAGAAGAGCAGGGGTCTGTGTCTCCCCTTCTCTTACACCCTCACGTGGAGGTGGTCTCTTGATTGGTGGGTGGCTCTTGCGCCTGGAGTGCTCAGTCATGCTCGTCCCCTGGCATGCATGGCCTTACCCATGATGCACACAGAAAAGCCCATGGAGGAGGGCTTGCACTGCAATGCTGATTATATTACAGTGAGCATCGGGTCATGTCTGCTTAGGTCCTTGTCACTACTGCGCAGTCAAGGCTGTCGGGATCTGACTGGTTTCTTGCTGGCACTCATTTACAGGAAGTAAAGCCCCTTTATGCTGGAGGTGGGTATACCACCACCTTCCAGACCCTCCACCCTCTCCTCTACCTTATCTGCCCGGTGCCCCCACTTATCTAACTACCTAACAAAACCTCCTGTAAGGAGGTCTGCATTTCAGTCCTGGGCAGGTAGGGGTGTCCTCCACACCTGTTCCTTCTTTGTGTCTCTGCCTCAGCCGTAAAGGATGTGGCTGCGCCTGCCATATGCTATGCCTGATCATTGTCTTTCACACTCATATGTTAACCAAATCTATTCCTAATTAATACAGAATCAAAATAGAGAAATGGGTGGTGGGTTAGAGATAGGCTTGAGGTAACAGAGGTTTTGTTTGCTTGTTTTTAAGTTGAATGTTGCACTGAGTAGGAATTAGGCACTCTGATCTAGTCTTTGGAGAAAACGCCACAGTTATTCAAGATACCTGTTGTAAAATGCCGTTCAAGTTTTCACTTCTGGATTTAGATTGAGTGTATCAGTCAGGGTTCTTGTGTCCAAGCAATAGAAGCAGACGGGCTGGTTTAAGCAGAAAAGAAAATGACTGAAGGCAACCGGTGCCTCGGTGAACTGTGAATGGCTGGAATCAGAGGCAGAATGAGGGAGGCAGCCCACAGGACCACAGATACAGTCACGTCACCGAAAGGGTCTGTCAGGGACACCACTGCCATTACTGACGAGCTCTGGATGTCCCTTTCACCCAGCCGCTGTTGTTAGATAGACCCTCCGCCACCCTCCCCCACTCTATGCGTCATAAGTGCCATATTCAGTATCTGTGATGGGATAACCAGTTGACCTACCTTGTCTGCCCATCTCCTAGCTGCAGGGGAGGCCAGGAAATAAATGAGCTGGCTTTTCTAGACTTCTAGAGGGAGAAATGCCTCCCTCCAAAACACCACAGGGAGATCCAGATGCCAGGTGGACAAAAGTAATAGTTAAAAATGCCAGCAAATATCTACTAGGTTTAGTTTCTCACATAATATAAAAAATAATATTTTGTATTTATTTAACAAGTTTGCAGGCAGTACACCATGGTAATTTCAATATGGATTTTTAAGACTATTTGGATTATGTACAGAAAGATAAAGTATCTAAAACTGTAGTAAGTTACCAAAATATGCAGAAAAATCAAAGAAGATACATTTGAATGGTAAAATCAGCTTTTGAGTCATAAGAGCTATTGCTAAGATAAGCTAGGAAAATGTAAATATCAAATAAAAACAACCTCTTTCAGCATTATGCTCACCTGCTTTTTGTTTGGATATTAATTTTTTAACTGTATAAGACTAGACCATACATCTGCGTGTCCTCTGAGTGCAGGATAATGTCTACAAACTGGGAGGACAATTGGCAAACTCATAAAAATTCTGTAAACTTTCTAGCATTAACAATTTTCCATTTATTTAGTACTTACTATGTGTTTGGCATTGTGTGGAGTACACACATTTCCTGGTCTTTACAAACAACCCTTCAAGTCATACCCACTCCATGGCTAAGAAAATTTAGATGCAGAGAAGCCAAGTAATTCGCTAAAGGACATGCAGCCAGTGAAAGCCGTAACCAGGGTTTTAATTCAGGTTTAATGAAGGCAAACTTGGGTACAATTGAGCAAATAAGTGCCATAGGGCACTCAAGGAGCTCCAAAGCCATATCCAGGTTAATTCGCTTCAAGAATCATCCTAACTGATACACTAATTGGGAGACTGGATGCTAGCTAGAGTTCTCCATGATTTACGTAAATGTCTGTATGATTTAGTGTGTTAGATGGCATGTGATAATCAACAGCAAATATGACTTGACAGTTTATCCTTAGCTATTGAAATAGCTTCAGCTCTCTATTGGTTGATGTGACAATGTCCACATACGTCAAGCTGAAGATCTGTTTATAAAAAGTTGATTTGGCCCAAATTATCTTGATTGCAGGTTTATGCTCATCAGATTTATCCACTTATCTCATTCATGGATCAAACAATTAGGAGAATAAATAATCAAGTTTCTAGTTTAATTAGAATACTGTCCAAACATACTGAGACTAAAACTGACTAGAAATTAGTCACATTTAAATGCAAATTGAGGGGACATGCTGACATCTGATTTTGCATATACAGCTCTGATTAAAAATATTATATAAGATTTATTTGCAGAGTTTTATTGTCATAGTAGAGCTTGGTGAGTCATCATATTGGATAGCGTTATCCCCATGAATTAAATTTCTACCAAAGGAAATAAACAAGACAGAAATACATTAATTCCCACTTCTTAATGACACAAGAGGGAACACTTACTGTTTGATAGATTGAAAAGGAAATGGTCTTTGGAGAGATTAAAAATGGAATTTGTAACCTTTTAATAGGACGTAGTTTTTTTCTTTTTTCTTTTTCCTTTTTTTTTTTGGCCTCTGCCTCTGATTTTCTGCTCTTACTCAATTGTGACAGTGAAATCTATTGAAAGTGACGTTCCCTTTCGTGTTAGCATGGAGAGAAGAAGTGCAGGTTACCACACCTCTGAGGGTGCTCTCTGGATCCTGAGGTGGAGATGGGGGCTTTACTGGGTTTGTGAAGCCCCTGAAATCATATACAAGATGTTGCATTTAGGAATGTATGAGAGTTTTGTGGGATGAGGTTCCCTAGTTTCCAGCAGTGATACAGAGGGGGCTGTGGCCCCTAAAGTGTTACCAACACTGCTGTTGGGTGGTGATCCTATTGCCTGAACACCAAAGCAGACACACCGGCTCTAAGTCAAAAGGGTTGTTTAAGAGTAGGCGCAGAATTGGCGTCAGTACGGAACTACTCGGAATTATAAGTAACGTATTGCTTTCAAGTCTTTTAATGTAAATAATGCATTTAGAGAGAACTTGACAGTTACCAGGTTACTTTTATCTATATTTACTCATTTAAAAGTCACAGTAATCCTTTGCTAAGGCTGGATAATTAAAATTATCTTCATTTTTACAGCTAAGCATATAAACACAGAGGGAATAAAACCAACAAACTTGTTCTAAAGATTCAAAGACTCACAGAAGTGAGCACCCTTCCCATAGTGTTTTTGGGATCAGGAGTGGATGTCTGGCTCAAACTGGATCAATCAGAGGTCCTTCCAAGAGAGTTTGGAAGAGTGACAAAAAATCCAATAGTTTGCCCAGGAGGGCTCTGGGGGTTGGTCTTCTGCCTCTCATAAATGGCTAAGCAGGAGGAGGAGGAAGGGGGAGGGGGAGGGGAGACGGGAGTGGGTGGAGGGGAGGAAAGAGAATTGTTCTGGTGTCCTGACTTCAGGCCGTATGTCTCCCCCTGGGTCCCTGAGAGACTTGCATCCGTGCTAGGACTTGGCGCATAAGTTGGATAGGCTAGAGAAGACACTTGTAATTTTTATTGGAAAATAATGCTCGCAAATGAAGTGAAGAACTTACTGAATATAACTGTGGTGGAAGTAGGGCTCCTACTTGATCCAGTGTTTGCAAGAATCATAAAATAGCATGCAAAGAAATAATTGGAAAAGAGTCCCCATCTTCTTTTGGATCTCTTGAGGACAATTCACAACCCAAAAGAATATTCTTCAAAAAGCCACTTTCACCTGATTCCTAGTTCCTCAGGCCTATTTTGAAACTACTTACATGACAAAAAAAAAAGAACTCCCACTGACAGTTCAACATGCTCAGATTTATGGCTCATTGTTCTCACACTGCCCCCCACCCCCACCCCGCTTCCTTGTTTCTTGTTCTTTCCTCTCATTACCTTTATTGGCCATCACAAAAACCTGGAAACCTGGGAGACAGTAGAGAGCGAATGAAAGTTTTGAGAGAAACTGGTACTATTTACGTGTTAAGGAATAATCACTCCTGCTACATATGTTTATAATAAAGTTCTATTTTTTTGCCTCCCCTGACATGAGCTAGTTTCTATTATTTCTAACATAGAATTCTAAGTAATATACTCATGGAGATAGTGGCAGAATTGAGGTGAGAACTTGGGTCTTTTGATTTAAGATCTCTTCTTTTTGCACACCTGGCTTTGTCTGCATAGAATTCTACTGCCGCAGAATTGAGGATTAAAGGCTGGGTACTTTAAAAACAGTTTTGTATTTCTTATTAGTGAACTCCATGTGGGCAGGCACTGTGTCTGTATTTTCAATGCCTAGTATATTGTTGATGTGAGAAAAATTGTTGGTGCCAAAAAAAAATTATTGAATGAATGAAAAAAATGAATGAAGTGTCCATCTTCATTTTTTAAACAAAATTGTAATCTTATTTCCATTTGTGGAGTTATCTTGACAGAAAATCTAGTAGATGGATATAAACTGTATAAATACAATTGCTGTTAAATTTAAGCTGCCTT